GGTATACTATGCAGCCAAGTGCCAGAACTGCAAACTGTACAAAGACAAGTATAATGAAAGTGACAACATACCAAGAGATAGCGATTAACAGTAATCATGTAGGAACAAATTGAAAAAACCTCATAAAATATGTATCACCACAAATGTACAAACATAAAATATGTATCACCACAAATGCACAGTGGAAAAAAAACAGTCATCTTTGAAAAAAGAAAGAAAAATAGTCAATGGGATTAACATTTAAAAGAGTATAGTATGGTTCCAAGCAAGCACCAGCTAAGTAGTACAGTATCAGCTTCACCCTGTGAAGAACATGAACACTAGACTAGGAATTTCAGAAGGTTGTTTGGCTACACACATCTTCCTACTCACCAGGCTGGCCATAGTTGTCCAGTTGTGATATAAAGCGCTTTGGACCCTCTGCTGATCTAAGAAGATAAACTTTTCTGTTTTTCACCCTTTTTGCAATTCCTCTCTCCATATGGGCCTAGCAAAGAGGTGAACCCTGGGGCTTCTTCCCCAAGGATTAGAAACTACAGCGCAGGCTCTGAGTGTTCCTTGTTCTGTCTTGATTGTAAAGCTCTGGGATACCTTCTCCTTATCTGGCCCAAGACTACAGAACCGTGGCACAGTGAGACAGGCAGGCTGGCTCCCTGGCCCATGGAGGCAAAGGCCAAGGGACAATGTGCTAGGAGACTGAGAACTAGAGAGAGATTCGGCTGCTGGTTAAGGAGACTAATGACTGCATCCTTACTGTTTGCGGATCCCGACTTGTGGTAACCTATTAACTTCCCTAAGAAGCCCTTTAATTGTGAGTGTTGTCTGTGAGTTCTGTGTGGCCACTGAAGTAATCATCGAGTCCAGCATGGATGCAGTGCGGATCATGGGAGGAACGGTTGGTGTAAGAATAGGTAAAGGAGGATGAACTGTGGAGGTTCATCTGCCCCTGCTTTATAGCAATAGGGAGCCAGAAGAGATCAGATAGGGCCCTTCATTACTGTTTACTGCAGCACCCTCACATACACAAAGCATTTATGTCTTTCCTCTCATGTAATTCTATTGGAGGCAAGGACTAGCGTCAATCTAAATGAAACAGATAGTAAAAGGTAAATCAGAAATTTACAAGATAAAATAGTCAAGCATTAGAAGCATTATCTAAGATTTTAGACAACTGAAAATGCAAGGGAGTTGTGACTTGGGCTCTGATCCCTGAGTCCCGCAGGCCTCCCTCCCTCCCTCTTCTAAATGGAAGTAGCCATCAGAAGGTTATTGTCAAGCTGTTAATCTATGAGTGTTGGCATCGACCAATGGCACTAAGTTTGGTTTGATTTTGGGAGGATGTAGCCTAATATTAAGTAAGCACTTGGATTTTTGTACAGTGGTCCAACAAGGTAAGGCTGACAGATGGTTACAAGCATAACACGATTTGATTTTGATTGGTGCGAGCTCAGTGTATTAGAGTACTCGCCTCTCTTGGAAAAGAGAGAACAAGGTTGTTTCCAAATAACCAAATCAAAAAAAAGGTTGTTTAAAATGTGATATACAAGGTCTAACAATCTCACCAGGTTTTTTAAAATCTGACATTCCAAGGACACAGGCTCAAAAAATGAAGTGGCTTCAGGAGTAAGTCCTTTTACTCAGAGCAGGAGACAAAGAAAAGAATGAGCAATTTTAAAAACTATATGCAAGAAGAGACATTTTTCCCCAACCAATTTACAATGATTCATTCTATGTTTTCAGTTCCAGAGGATCAGAGAGAACTCCAAGAACCCGAGGACCTCATATATGACGAACAAGAAGCAAGGTTAGTCAAGACCACAGATTTCTTCTCTGTTCTGGGACAATACCTAGAAATCTCTGATATTCCTGCAATTCGAAATGAGTTCTCTCAATCGATAGACAACTTTTAAATGCCACAATCTTCCCTAACGTTGACCTCTACAAGAGGAAGACAGGAGGGTGCTGTGACTACAAGTCTATAGGCTCTGGACCCTAACAGACAGGAATAAAATCCAACTCTGATTTGTACTTAATTGCCTCTAGATTCAATTGCTCATCACAACCAGAAATTTAAAATTAAATCAACTACTCTTATCATACAGTACAGGTATTTCCCTCAAGTATTTTGAATATCAAACAGAAAGTGGAGCTTTTGCCCCTTAACATGACCTTTCCAGAAAAGTCGGTGCCACTTAATTTTAGAGTAGGAAAATGCATCAGGTGAGATCATTCCTCCCCAGTCTCTACCATTTAATCTAAAACCACCTTCTAAAAGCTTATGGAGCACTCCCTAAAGTGACAAAATAAGAAATTAAATATTTCTTATCAATAGCGATTTTCTATTGTATTGTCGGAGATTAAATTCCAAATCATAGCTCAAGCTCTCAGTCAAATTGATGATTACAATGCAAATACTCAGGGTCTGGTTTCTCAAGAACAAGGGGGGGAGCAATCTTCCCTTTCTTTGTAATTTTGTGCATTCTGCGGAGAGAAGAATGTAAGTACAGAAAATTTCTCTAATTTTCTTTTGCAAAAAAAGAACAATTGTCTCTTCAGTTCTATTCTTATGATCACAAGATACAATTTGCTTCAAGAAAAAAAATATATTAAAAAATCAAGGATGTTTTTTTAAAAAGAAAGAAAGAAAAGCTACCCACAAGTTGCATCTAATTATTCCACAAAGTATCCACTTCAAAGTTAATTACCAATTAAGAAAGATATACTACCTTTTGTGTAATGGAGGAAAACGGAATTTTAGAAAACAAAAGCTGATTTTTCCATCCATTTTCATTCTAAATTTTAGCGTTACCATTTCTACTCCGGGTTTTCGATCGGCAGTCTCTCTTAATGCATAAAATAAAATTTCTGCCATTTCATAAAGGTTAATGATCTACAAGCACATGAGTACATAAGTTTTAGAGCAAACAATTCCATGAAAATAATACTTCCTTTTCCTTTTAATAATTTGGTTTTCTTGTTTCATAATTATTAGATTTTATAGTAAACAGGGCAACTCGAGACCATATCAATATCCCTTTGCCATCACGTTCCTTCCAACGGCCCCGTCGTGTTTGTGTCCAGGGCTGTAAGTTTTCACAGAGGCGCACCATCACATCTTTCTGCCACAGAACAGCTGCTGGGGTCAAACTCGTGACCTTTAAGTTCGCCATAACCACTCACTCACTGTGCTGCCAGGGGTCTCCTATCAATATGGGTCCAAAAATCTCCGTCACTGCGACGGTGGGGATTCTGACTCACAGCTGCCCGAAAAGCACAGTAGAACGGTCCCTGTGGGTCTCTGAGGCTGTAAACCTTTACGGCACCAGAAAACCTTATCTTTCTCCCAAGGTACCCTGGTGGTTGCAAACTGCTGACCTTCTGCTTAGCAGCCCAACACACAACCCACTAGGCCACCAGAGCTCCTCATATCAATAAATAGAAACAGAGAGAGGGATAAATAAACAAAGGAAAAGGGAGGACTCTTTGTCATAGAATTACAAGTACAAATGTTCCAAATTAGAAGGAACGATGGAATTAGGAAAAATGTCATCTGGTTCTACTTGTAATAGGAATTGTTCAAGGTAAGCCTCAATACTACTAAATAATAATATAACTTAGTGGATGAGAAATAGAATATTTTCAAATCTCAGGGAATCTCCCCATAAAATACTTAATGCGTAATATCCCCATAAAATAATTCGTTCAAAGGAAAACCTAGGAACTCTACAGTGGACAAAGCTGGCAGGCCCCTAACACCACAATTGTTCAGCATTTCCAGCAGTAATGAGACAAATCGACATCACATGCCTGCTGGGAAGAACACATCGCCGACTCTCTGGGTTTCCTGCCAAAGTGCATAGCCTGACTCCAGGCATAAAAAGTCAACAACCGCAAAACAGCATCCCTGTACAAAATACCCGGCCACTATTCCTCACAGTTATCAAGGTCACGAATGACAGAGAGGCCATCTGAAGAACTACTCCAAATTAAAGGAGACGAAAGAAGCACGACAGCCAGATACCCAGCATGGGCCTACATTGTCCCCTGGGCCACTAAAGAGCGTTAGTGGTGAAACTGGAGTAGATTCCATCACATTATTGTACTGATGTTACATCCCTGATTTTGGTCATTATACTGTGATTCTGGAAGAGGATGGTGGTTTGGGGCAACACCGACCAAATTACTGAGAAGCAGAAGTATTTATAGATATCATGTGTTCAACTTACTCACATTCAGAAAACAAAATTACATATATATGGAGAGAGACAAAAAGAATGATAAAGTACTGCAAACTGTGAATGGGGGGGGGGGCATGTAGGTGAGTGATTATATGCACAGAAATTCCATGTTCTAAGGTTTCCACTGAAATTTCAAAACTAAAAGCTTATTTAAATGGCTCTAACCACCCACCATTTTGAATTAGCATAATGATCATCTAGTAGCGAGATTGGAAAACTCTCTCTACTAAGGTCCAGAGTTGACCTTCCGGGCGTTGTGGGCTGTACAACATCTTTCTCAAGTACGTACTCTTGTGCTGTGATAACAGGAGAGCAGACAATGTCTAAGTGACTGGGTGTGGCTATGTTCCAATAACATTTTCTTTACAAAAATAAGTACCAGTAGGCTTTGCCCCAGGGGCCATCCTAGTTCCTGGTCTAGTTCATGCCAGGGGAACTGAAGCTGAACAGTTGTATTTCGGGTCAACATGCTCTGAGCCCATCCCAAGCACTAGGTGCATTGCCATCTTTAATTCATTTATCCTCACACCAGTCTGCAGAGGCAGACACTGTAAATTTTACTGATGAGGAAACTAGTGAAGTTAAGAAACTGTAGGCTCTGGGTCTGAAACCACTAAAACCTGATTCCATAGACAGTATTAACAGCCATTCCACTGGCCTTCCCATGTGTTAAATTACGCTGTTGCAGGTAAAAAATGTTGCACACTGTTTAAAGAGCTACAGAACATTGAGTAACCCTCTGAGGAGGGGATTTTCACAAACCTCCTGTAGCTGCAAGGACATCAGGCCCAGCTGGTCCTGCCGTTTTTCCACCAGTTCTCTCTCGGTGCGCATCTCTCTTTCGATTTCCTGAAGCCGCCGCTCGACCCGGTCTGAAACCTTAACATAAATGCACAGAAGGAAGGTCATTATCAAGCTGCCAGTAAGCAAGAATAAACTTGACTTGGAAGATATTTTACCCGACATGTGCTACTGCTGGAATCAGTTAAGACCGACTTGCTTGTAGAATCCCTTTTAAGGACACTCTATGAAAGACTGGGAGAAAGACGAGGCTTTCTACTCCCCAAAGAGCTAGAGTCTCGGTAACTGCCCACACGGGCAGTTCAACCCTGTCCTACAGGCTCGCTGAGTTGGAATCAAGTATATGAGAGTGAGAGAGTTTTTATATTAAAGCACTAACAACAACAACAAAACCCTGGAGGTCACAAAAGAAAGCAACAGTCTCCAAGTAATCCATATCTAGAAACCAGCAACTGCTTCAAATTTTTCATAGTCTAATATAATAATTCCCTAGGACAGAGGGGAGCGGACAACAGAATTGTCGGGGAATAGATTTATTGGATGGGGTAAGATATGGCAAAACATAATAGTAATATATAATAACAATAAGGACTCCTGGGGGGTAGGTAATGTGGAGGAGTAAGGAGATAAAAGGAGTTCAAGAAGAAAAAAATGTTAGGAAACTGATTGTAGCAGCAACTGTACAACTATGCTTGACCTAACTGAATTATGGATTGTTATGATATCTGTACAAGCTCTCTATAAAAGGATTAATAAAGAAAAGAAAATTAAGTAATCTACTAGAAAGGAGCACCCTCTGGTGACTTACAAGGAAAATACCAATTTTGCCAAATGAATCTACTATCAGATTAATGATAAACTGTCTATTTAGTTGTTTTTCCTTCTAATTATTGACGAGCATGACCTGCCTAGAAAGGTCTTGAAGTTTACATGCAGCGAATAATTAAGAGGTGTTTTCAGTGGTTTGTCGATCTTTTCCACTGTCATCTGCTAAAAATGAACCAGCTGTAAGAGATCAAAACCTAAAGTCAAACCAATTTACCTGGGACTCTCAAAACACACATGAGAGGAATTTTGCCTCTAATGCAAAACTTCTCTACTAAAAGTTCTGAAAACTCAAACATATTCCACTTGTATCATTATAAGTCTTCTAAATAAAAATACACAACTTGATATGCATGCAGTGGGTGCAGGTAACATAGAATATTCACGTTACAGAAACAATAAATATATTCCTGTTATAAGAACTCTTTTGTCACCCATTCTATCTTTGATAGAGAATCAGGAAAAGTCCTAGTTTAGGGTTTTATTGCGGTGATAAAACTCTAAAAAGAAACAAACAAATAAAGCCATCCAGTCCACGCCCACACATAGCAGTCCCCTAGGACAGAGTAGAACTGCCCTGTGTGTTTCCAAGACTGGTTATGGAAGCCGTACGTCTCTCCCACAGAGAAACTGATGGATCCAAGCTGCTGACGTTGTGGTTAGCAGTCCATCGTGTAACACACTACGCCGCCACGGCTCCTATGTGCGCGACAGAAATGTTCTAAAAATTGGGTTATGATGAGGGCTGCAGAAAATTTACTAAAAATCTTTATATACTTAAAGCAGCTGCATTTTATGATAAAATATCTTTTTAAAAAAATATATATCTTAAAAAATGTGTCTTCTCCCAAAAAAACCACTGGCAAAAACATGTTTATTTGAGCAATAAAAGATGAATAAAAATATTCAATTAAAAATAGTAGTTTCTACTCTGTTATAATGCCTATGAGTCTTAGATATACAACTTCTGGTACTTAAAATGGCATTTATTTTTATATTCAAACTGTTACACTAGAAACTGTAAATACTCTTCAACATCATGCTCCTAATTTATCCTAAAATCAATCCTAATATTCTAGTAATCAACTTACTATTGCATCTGAAATGAATATAATTCTCGCTATGGCAGAAAAAAGAATGTTAATTAAGTCAACACTTGAAAAAAAATGAAATTACCTTTTTTGTTCACTCTGAGTATGAACAGTAATAAAGAGCAGTGACTGTCAAAAATAATGATATAGCAGCGGGAGGGGAAAAAAGGAAAACGAGCTGATTCCAGGAACCCAAGAGAAAAGCGAATTTTGGGAATGATGAGGGCAACAAATGTATAGGTGTGCTTTACACAATTGATCTATGTATTGTGATGAATTGTATGAGCCCCAATAAAATGATTAAATAAAAAAAGGAAAGTGAAAAAAAAAAGATATAGACTAAAAAAGTATCTGCCCGTCCAGAGAAAAACACTGTTTTATATAACGTTGTACACTTCAGGTATTTTTCTACGCAAGCTTGTCTGCATGACATTTCTTTAACAAAATCATATATTATACAGTATTTTTTTTATTTTGGCAGTTCAAAAATGTATTATGAATCACAAGTTAATCGATATCATTGCTCTTAACAATTACAGAGTTTTCTGAAAATTTTTAATGTAATTCCATATTAAGGAGCTTTGCTGGTGATGCTAAATAGGTGTTGGACTGCAAACCTCAAGGCCAGCAGTTCAAACCCAGCAGCCACTCTACAGAAGAAAGATGAAGCTGCCTGCTCCCATAAAGCACTGCAGCCTAGGAAACCCTACCCCGGGTTGCTCTGATCTGGAATTTGACTCAATGTCAGTGGGTGCCTACTCTAAATGCTTAGAGAGGTAATAACAAGGAAATTTTAGGTATATAATATTTCTCATTTTGTTTCTTTTAATTCCATACTGACTGATTACTGGGATAACAATTATCTTTTTATTCTTATTATTATGTGCTGTGACAAACCCTACGATATAAAAACCCTCCGAATTCAAGATAAAATCTTTGAAGTGAGATTATTGAATCAATAGGCATTACTAATTTCTGGATTTTTATACAAATCATCTAAAAAGAAAATTCAGGACATCACTTAAGCTGATCAGAAATCACACAACTCATTGGAGAAAACAACGGGCCCAACAGAGGCCAGTTTGCATGCGTTCATTGAAGAAGCATGCAAGGAACACTAACTGTGGGGATAATGGCTGTGGAGTTAGAATGCATAAAGAAGGAACAGCGTAGAAAGCGCAGAATGTTGCTCAGCCTTCTCGAGTGGGCCTGCCTCTTCCTCATTAGCACAATTTCATAACCATATAAGGATAAAATTTAGAACAAGGAAGTAAGCGCGGTAACATTTGATTGGCTGATGTGCCCTATATAAGCTGCAGAAAGACAACAATACAATAGATCTGCCCCATCAGAGCCTGGTCTTGGGATTCTGTGTGCACACGCATTGGTCGGTGGCTCCGTCTCCCTCACTCCCCTGCTGCCGAACCTGTTCCCACAACTATTTGCAGTTACCGTACTAGAGAGAAGTCAGGAAAACAGCAATCCACAGCTACATTCACCAACTCTATCCTCAAAAAGTTAACTGTCTTTCGAAGACTGACAGTGAACAGGGAGCTAGAACTTCAAGGCACTCTGCTGAACGACTTGCCTAGTTCAGGAAAGGAGGCTATGATTGTTATTAGCATGCTATCAAAATTAAACCAGCTTAAACAAACACTGAAACCACGTCAAAACTATTTCGACATAAGCTACGCCACCATCTTGCTTAGTGCATGGTGTGACGCAATGACTGTTTGCAGAGTGTTTGCTCACTGAGACGTTTTCACGTTTCCTAGTAGACGTGTACTGTGTCATCTCTTCCCCGTGAGTTAGCAGCTTGATCTAATGACTTGCTTCCAAGGAACAGAACACAGTAAAAATGATGCCATGCAACTACTGTCGCTACTTACCAAAAACTTAAGGTGACCAGACGTCCCACTTTTGGCGGGACAGTCCCGCTTTGGGGCATTTTTAAAAAGTCCTGATTTTTGGAAAGAATGCAGGCAAGCTAGGGAACAGCCTATTTGGTCCAAATAGACCAAATTTTTAATCAAGAATCCCACCCCCACCCCCAGTCAATGGTGTCCCACTTTAAATGTGGTCACCTTACAAAAACTGAGTTGTGTGTGGCTCGTCCTCTTTCTCTCCTGGGCTCTCCCAAAGCAGGCTGCCATACTGCGAGATACTCCATGGAGAAGCACTTACAGGAACAGAAAGAAGAGACCTCTGACCAACAGGTTATGAAGAACTGAGGCTTCAGTCCATGGATGCATTAGGAACTGAGTCTTGTCCAAACCAGTAGAGTGAGCAAGGAAGATGATCTCTCTCCAGCAAGCCACGAGATGACCATGATGGCAAAAGTCCAAGTCCATGCTACCTTGTAGAGCACTCCATGGATCCCTGGACATCCCTAACTAGACCTTTCCACAATAGAGAAATAACAATTACGGTATATACTCCTGTATAAGCTGAGTTTTTCAGCACATTTTTTATGCAGTTTTTGTGGTAAAGTTAGGTGCCTTGGCCGATATCCATGTCAGCTTATGCTCGAATATACACAGTATATATTTTTAAGATAAACTATTATTTGAATTTTCTGTCATGTACAGCTGAAACTGATCATGTGACAGAGACAGTCCTTCCTGAGCTGGAAAATTGTCTAGTACAGCCATGTGAACATGATAAAAACATTAATACCCGTGCTGTTTTAGTGAAGTCTGAAAAAAAAAGCTATAAATAAAATGATGAGATATGATAGCTGAAAGTGCTCAAAAAATAACAGATACAAAAACTACATGACTGAAACTGAATAAGAGCTGAATATTTCATGTGTTTCACAGTGGTAAAATTATAGTCATTCTGTAAGGTTACCGAAGTATCCATGCAGTCTTGATTATACAATCAATATACTCAGAATATTTCCCTTTTTTCTAGTGCTAGCCCACTTCAGGTCAATAGACAAGGTCATGATAAATGGAGAAAAGAATGAGACATTCAGGTTGGAGAAAGGAGGTTCATTAACAAACTTCGATATGCCCATGATTCAATCTTGCATGTATACAATTTGCATATGAGAGAAGAACTGGTGGTAAAAAGGTCATGCAGATCCAGGGCTGCAGTGTTCAGTATGAATACGGCACAATGTAAAGAAAGCAAAAAATCTTCACCACTAGACGAATGGAC